CCCTCATTATACCTTCTGTTTTTCTGTATTCCCATCCCAGAATCATAATCACCAGCACTGTAATATCCTAGGCTGAGAACATTCACTTTTATTTTTCACCAGCCTTATTGAGGTGTAATTGACAAATAAAAATTTCATATATTCAGGTTCTATAACTTGATATTTTATACATGCACACATTGTGAAATAATCAAGTTAATTAAGCTTTCTTTGTTTTTGTGGTGAGAACCCTTAAGATGTACCCTCTTAGCCAATTGTAAGCACACAATGCAGCATTATGAACTATAGCCACCACGTCACACATCAGTTCCCCAGAACTGACACATCTGCATAACTCAAACTTTGTCCCCCTTAGCCAACATCTCCCTGTTTTTCTCCCTTCACCCTCTGGCAACCACCGACCCATTCTGTGCCTTGGTAGTGAGGTAATTTGTATGCCGTACCCTTGACCTACTTTAAGTGTACAATCCAACGATTTTTCATAAATTGATAGAGCCATGCAGTTCTCATCACAATCCAGTTTTACGGCATTTCCATCACCCCAGAAGGGGAACATTTGTTTCTGCGATGTATCTGGAAATGGTTTCTCTTGTTCCCCTTACTTTACTCTATACTTTGATTAGGCACATGAATGGACAGTCCAGGATGGAGTTGGGAAATATTTTACAGGGAGCAATTGGAAGACCTGGCTTGCGTGTTCCTCCATCACATTTTCCTACGGGAGTGAGCATGAAAATAATAGTCCCCGGACCAGGAGAAATGGAACTGACCAGCCCCTTGGATGTTGGCAAAGGAAATCAGGGCAAGTGGATTTGGGCATAAAGCAGGAATAGGCAATGGAAGTGAAAATACATGAGGCTGTGTTTATTTAAAGGTCACATAACTGTGCCTGGGAAACTTTTCGGGGGTAAGGACAGGGCTAAAGAAAGGATGTAAATATAGACAAGCAGTCTCATTGGTCAAGAAACTGCAGATGAGGGTTTACAGTCGAAAACGTGAGGCAGGAGGAGCCCCTGCAGTCGGAGCCAATAGGCAAATTCCCCTGGAGGGCAAAGTGAACTGAAATGAATTTTAGGTTTTCCCCTCTTAATGGCACCACTTGTCACAGAGCTAAAAAGTGGCTGAATCAAGCCGTGTTCAAAAATGCTGATTCTAAGTCAACATGAAACCAATATTTTTTAAATGAGTAGTTTCAAAGATAAACATCAATTTAGGCTTAGAACATGTAACTCATTTACTTACATGAGTGGAATCCATAGGATGTAAACAAAACAAATGCTTTATTCCTCCAGTGCTTATTTTAAACAAACAAACAATAAATAAATATATAAAATTAGGAAGGATGTTTGGGGAAAAGCACAAAGATTAGGGTGTTGTTCTTACAGTTGTTTTTTCTTCCACAAGTTCCTGAAGCACATTGCTAAACCCTGTGAGGCCAGGGACTAATGTAATTTCCACACGAGAAACAACTCCACTGTATTTAAGCTTCTCTGCTATGCTGTACAGAACCTGATCCATTTCTATGCGCTTATAGTCCCAAATGTGTCCAAATTGAATGACCCCTGGGTCTTCTTCAGAAAGGTTGGCCTGATCCACCAGCCAGCTGCCATGCAAGCGCGGGACCTTGTAGGACATGCCCCTCAACTGGCCTCTCGGCCAACACAGGGCCTCCCGTGGTTCCAGGGCGCATCAGGGGGCTTTTCTTTGTAACTGGAGTTCAGGAGAAAGGTCTAGGTTAGACATGTGACTTTGGGGATCATTAGCACAACTGAGGGATTTAAACCACAAGATTAAATGAGACTATTTAGGAAGGACACCAGATTTAAAAAAGAAGAAGGGATGAAAAAGGAAAGAGTTCCAAGGGCTGAGCCCTGGAGCAAGCCAACCCATACGGGCTCAAGGAGACCAGCAAAAAGTGCCTGCAGTGCAGTACAGACGCCGGACGGAACACAGTCTTTGTTATCATTGTATTTTGGTGGCAATCAGAGTACATGAATGTGAATGTTATTTCACTGTGTGCTTTATTTTTCTTTATATCTCCACACTATGACACCCCAGTAACAACAGACACACACATGGAGGTGAGTAAGGGTGTGTGTATTCTAATTAAGTGATATTAAAGAAGTAAATAAATCTAAATGAAATTAAAATGTATGTATTCACATATATACACAGCAATTGTTTCACCAGTGGAAAATGATTATAAAACCAATTTCAATTTTCCATTATCTAGGCTTTGCTATATTATTTACACCCTATAAAATATTTTGTTCTTCTGGTTTTCTTCTGATTGATAGTTAATTCAAGTGTTTGCATTCAGTTTAAATTTCAGACCACTATAAAACAGAGTTCAGCTATATTCTTTTTATCTCAATAATTAAATTATACTCATAACTTTCCATTTAAGAAGCTATAACTGTTAAAATATATGACATGTTTAAGAAGTAAGGCACTGAATAGGTAGATGAAATTTATGTAGACTTAAAGTTATTTTGTGGTGGTGATTTTTTTCCACACCATACTATTTCATCTTGGACACCAACTTTGGCTTTTATTGTGGAAAATGAATCTTTCAGCCTCACTAGATAAGTCACGCATCATTAAAAGACCTAATCAGGAGGGCTGAAGGCTGCTACCTAAGTCTGCTCCACCAGAGACCGACTCAGGAGACAGGCCAGGAGTTATACTGATGGCCCATGACAGCATTGTCATGGCATCTGCATTTTTAAAGATAAACACTCAGAGCTCACCCTAAGAACATATGAGAAATAAATCTTGAACATGCGTGCATTAGGTTCAAATGGAGAGGAGATGCTAAGGGAGCTGTCAGAGTAAGAAATACATAGAAGATAATAATGCGAGTAGATAATGTCAGGAATAAAGTAGCAGTGGATTGCCAGGACAGCGTGGTACGAGGAGAAAAGGAGGCAGTGGCGACGGGACTCTAAGAGGATGCGTGGGAATGAGTGTGGGAGGCCAGGGAGGACACTGGCAAAATGGGGACAGGTGTGGAAAGAGAGAAGTGGAAGACCACCCACGGCCTTGAGAAGGCTGACTTTCCAGATAAGAGCTGAGCCACTTGGGAGGCCTGCCAGGACCCAGAGGATGACACCAGAGAGCAAATTAGAATGACAGAAGAGCACATCAGTGAGAAGGGCCCACCTGTGACGACTACACACTGCTCTCCGGGGCAGGTCTGCAGTCAAGACCCCCGCCCTGCTGTCGGGGCTGTTGGGCATTGAACACCAACCCCAGCCTGGGGGCCCATCAGTACCTTCAGGTAATCATCGTCTTTACAAAGACAGCGTGGGGTTGCTTGGTTTACTGCAGGCTGCGTGGATTAAACTTTGTATACAGTCCGAGTACAGATGAACAGGCGGACATCCCAGTTCATGATTTCTGTTTAAGGCCTTAGTAGGCTCCTGCCTAAGATCCCAGGAGCCAGAAAGAAACCTAGATAATTGTCATGGACACTATTTTCTTTCTCCGCTTCGCCATTGTTATTTGTCTAGTGCCTTAATTTGCATTAAAATATATATACCAAGTAGTTAAGGTATGTTTTCTGTTTAAGCTTCTGCTCCTGAAATTTAAGTCACTTACAAAATTGAGAGCGAATTCTCTTAAGTGTCACATTCTAGCAATGTGTTTTCTGCATAAACCTGTGCACCTCATTGACTTCTTGTCATGTCTCATGAAGAGTTCAAGCAGCCAAGCACATTCCTTTTAATCATTGTGCAAGAAGAAATTAAATAAGTAGCACCATAGGGATATTCATTAAATGTTTGCGAAAGAATGTTGTCTCCCTGAAGAAAGTGATACTTTCCCCCGAAAATCATTGGAGTCAGGAGAAAGGGAGAATGCTTCCTAAATGCAAATTTTTCTTATTGGATTCTAATGTTTCAAAATAAGAAATGGGATGATGGGAATTTTTATTACTTATCTGGTAAATGTATGAGAAAATATTCACTAATACTCAACATCGTTTGCAAGATACTGTGAAACGTGCTTTGGCAGTTGGATGTAAAGAGATGTAAGCGAGCTTTGCACCAACCGTGCAGATGTACCAAAAGTTACTTCTCTCTCTTGGTGGCTGGTGTTTTGCTATTTTATTCCTTTCCCTGCTGGAATGCCTCCTTTATCTTTCCTAATGAAGCTGGCCAAAGATTTCTTCCCTCCACGGAATCCTTGCCGCCATACCACGCTTGGCCAATTCCTAGATGATGGTTATAAAAGTCAGCAATGCTTTAACTAGCAATCAATTTTAGATTTTTTCATAACTCAAATTAAAAACTGCAAGGAACAAAAAAAGTGATGAAATAATAGCATAAAGACATTTTTTCTGCTAGAAATGCCATTTTCCTATCCAATAAAATTCTCCATATGCCCACTTGGCATTAATTTCCTTTCTCTGCTATTAATATGTGCTCTCTCGCCCTAAGTATCATGGGGGAGAAAATAGGTAGTGGTAATTGGATGCTTGCTCTCTGTCGAGCACTCTTTTAGGCACTTCACATGAATGATCACCAATCCTACCCACCTCTTATCATTATAAATAATTATTTGGATAATTATTCCTACCTCCCTCATCAGGAAATAGAAGGCTGCTCAAGGTCACCCAGCTAGTAAGTACCAGAGCTCAATTTTCATTTGGATTTCACCGAATGTAAGGCTCAGCCTTTTCCCTCTGTGCTCTGTGTCCTGAACAAATTAGCCCTAATACTAATTTGTTTTGATTTTCAATACTTGACATATGTAATTGTAAAGAACATTCTTAGTGGTTGAATAAGGACTGGATTTATTTTACCTAATCTTAAAAAATATCTTGGTCATTTTACTTTAAAAAATCCCTTGGGACATTGAAAGAATCTCTTAGAGTAGTTCTTATGTGTTCATTAAGAACTCAAGATATGTGGACTTACGTTTATCATTTGCCACATGATAGTAAGGGCTGAACATTCTTTCTGCTCAGTGTGTAACTTGCCTCTGCCCTTGTGTTGCAGTACTGGGTACCAGTTTATTTACTATTCACCTGAAAACACAGCCAAAGCAAAGGAAGTTCTCAGCAACATCAATCAACTGCAGCCTCTGATAGCAACCCATGCAGACCTCCTGCTTGATTCTGCAAGCCAGCGTTCTCCAGACAGCCTGAAGAATTCTTTAAAGATGCTTTCCGAAAAAGTAAGATCCAAACCATCCCTGCAGTGGGGGAAATGAAATGCCCAAATCCCCATCGCTGTTGCTTTGTGCATACCTGGCCTTTCCTGGAACCTGGAAATGTAAAACAGACAATGTTAAAACGTGAGCTTCCAAGTCCTGCCATAGGATCAAACTGAGCTGGCCTTGTTCTCTTTTCAAATCTTCCTGAGTGCTATGTTTTTCCCTAGTAGGACATGAAACCCGTTATTGGTGGGTATATATTTTTTTCTTTTCCTCGACATCCTGTATTATCTTTCATTTATGGTTTTAGAGAATGAATTAAATTAGGTTTTGAAGATTACTTTATTTTCCTCTGGTGATCACCTAATTTTTTTGCATGTGAAACTATACATTTGAATAGGAATGTCACTTCATTTGAAAGCAGGCGTTGGATGTGGATTCTTAAGAGTGGCATGGGATGATTTCTCTGCCTGATTCACTTTCAACATTATCTACTGGGAGAAGATACAAAATATTAATTACTGTCTGAAATGCAGGGGGACCTCAGTGCCAATTTTCCCGAAGGTGACTCAACACCTTACGTGCAGAGAGGAAAGGTAGTCTGGCGTTGGGCAGGCACTTACCATCAACCTCCATAGCTAATTAGGACACCTGAATGACGTAGAGAGAACCAGGATAAAAAAGGCAACATTGTTGCTTGATTTTAAATGCAAGATCAGGTGTCCTGATGTCCAGTTCCAATACATCCGTTCTTAACCTCTGCAATCTAAGGGCACCTCACAATTTATCATGAGGCACTTTCAATACATATGCCCTTGAAGAGATGGACCAAAGAAAATCCTTCTGGTTTTATTTTACAATAAAATAAGAGTGCAGTTCTTCACATCCCTGAAGAATAGATTCATGGAAACCTGGATCCTATCTCTCTATATTTTTTATTCAGATATGCTAATTTATAATAATAATACATTTTCATTTAGAGTGTACATTATTATCTAGTTTCTCATAGGATAAAACTAATATCTGTGTTTATTAAAATTTAGCTAATACCTATTCAGCAAGGTCAAGTAAATTATCTAATAAATTGAAAAGTCAAATATCAAAACCCAAGACTGCCAGTTCAAAATGCAGCCTTCCTTCTCTCCTCCATCATGACAGGGGAAGAAAAATTGACCCAAATCTTACAAGTAGTGACTTTGTCAAATATTGTGCTAGAGGCTTCAAGACTGATGCTATTTCATTTAATCTTCAAGTGGAGGATATCTATTATTTCCATTTCACAAAGGCAAATAATGAAACTCTGAAAAGTTAAAAAATGTGCAAAATCACGCAGCTCCAGTCAAGTCACACCAGGTTTGTGTTTGTGTTTGGGTGACTAGATAGCTTCTGGAGGGAGTTTCTAGTCCGTGCCGCAGGAGGCAGAAACCAAGAAGGGAGGAAATGGTCTGGAACCCTCTATGTCATACACAGGTTCTGACACTTTAGTTTTTAAAAGTACAAGAAAATTTTAGACAAACTCTTCTGCAACACTTAAATATTCTGATAGTCAATAAATCTAGCTAATGGTCAATAATAGGTTATGGCCAGGAAAAACTGGGGAAAAAATGAAGAGAGCATTATGTAGAGTAAAATAATATAATTTCATTTTTGGTTCAGTTCTTTTTCGAATTTGCAGACGGAGGTGAGGTTTTCTGGATTTACCTGAGCAGGGAAAGTTAGTGAGTAGCACACCACGGCAGTGATCACAGAGCAGAATTTATACTCTTCCTGTGCGTGGGGTGGGGGCTTGTCATTTCCCGCATCATTTACAACCTGCTGCAGTGATTTGGGTGGGGAAACAGGGCAGGTATTTTCTCCTTTAATTCAGCATTGCTCCGACTTTTTCCTCATATTTTTCTACTGAGTAGACAAGTTTCAGCTATTAATAAATCTGTCAGCCCTTAAAATCAGGAGGATCTTTTAAAGTTTGCAAGCCATGCATTTTTTTTTTTGAAGAATGCATGGCTGGAATTTCAAAGAATTACCCAAGTTAACAGAGTTTTGCATAGTCTATAAGGACAATAGGTATCTCATGGTTTAAAGTGAAGTATGAGTCATTCTTTCTGGCCATGGTGCTGGTGGTTCGGGCTCCATGCCCCAAGACTGTTTTATTTTTTCCTAGCGATGGCCTAATAAACACTTCTTAAAAATGGAAAAAAATGAATAAAGCATGATCCACAAATCTAGCATAGAAGACAAATGTTTTTAGTGCCATGTTAAACTTTAATATAATTTAATACAAGCAAAATTTAGCTTAAAGCATTTTGTTTTTGAGATCAGGATCTTGCAAAGTGAGGGCTAGAGAATAAAAGTCCTTTCTTTGTCAATAGTTCCTTGTTCCTTTTATTGAATCTGAACTGGTATGTTTAGACAATAAATGCTTGAGCTGTTTCCTTAGGAACTCACTTCTACAGGATATTTAATACATAATAGGAATTGTCTGTGTTCAAACTTATCATAGAACTCTAAAGGTTGTACAGCCTTTGAGCAGCCGGACATGCGAGAGCTCACTGTGGTAGACGGAGGACTGGGGAAGGCGGAGGAAAGCCCGTGGGTGCTGGGGAAGGAGGCATTCAGTTACGGTGTAATGAGATGGCATCTCTCCTCTCAGGAAACACATTGCATCTGGAGATGACAGCCATGGGTGCATCAGCCCAATATATACTCAGAGTTGGGTAGGGGGGAGAGCAAGGGGCAACAGAGATCCCAGCTGGCTAACAGGTCGTATTCAGAGAGTCCCAGAGCAGGCATGTTTTGTGGATCCAAAGGCAATGCAAATGATCTCTACTGCTGCCGACAGCCAAGCCACAGGGCAAAAGGTCCCAGGAAAATTCTATCCCTCTAAGTGTCTGTTGGTGGAAGAAACAAACAAAAACACACAGTTTATAAAAACTAAAAATATGTATTGAATTTGTACTATTTTCCAGTCACTGTCCCTGCAGTGAAGGCATAAAATGGATTAAGACACGGGCCTGTTCTTCCCAAGAAAATCAAGCTTCTTAATGCTAATAGTTCTGTTGCCAATGATGATAATGGTAATAGCTAGTTTGGAAGTTTACTAACTCTGATATACTGTTAAAAGGTCTTAAATTTTCATTAAGTGATGAGGTGGGTACTAAAATTTTTAACATTTAATCTTCCTAATCCATGAAGTAGGTACTTTTAATATCCTCATTTTATACGATACAGGAAATTGAGATACAGAAGTATATGTAATAAGCCCAAAATCACCTGCCTTGTAAGTCTGGCTCCCAATTCTATGAGCTGACCATTATGGTTCATTGTCAAATGCCCCATGTGTGCTAAGATAGACACTGCATATAGACCTAAGGAAACAAGTAGGGAAGTAGTGGTGGAAGGACAGAACTGAAGTTTCATGGGAATAAAATCTGTCTATAAATGTTTTATGCCCTAATGTGCACAAACTCAATTACATTGTTCTAATACTTTATTTTTTAGTACTTTCTGGCGTATAACTGGGTTTGTTTGCTGCATATTAGTTTGTGAAACTATTAAAGAAATTATTTAATATTGTTACTGGGATTGGGATTCTTGGGTTCCCCAAGACAGAAGTAGAGAGGTAGCCCCAGAGAAATTTCCAGGCAGATTTTATTAAGCTTATGCTGGAGCACAGGGGAGATGGCACAGAGGAGAGGAAGGGCCTCCAAACTGGCTGAGGGGCTGGCTATGCTTGGCCGCTTTTATAAACTGAGGACAAGGCAGGTGTGCAAGAAAATGTGGGCTTTTTGAAAGTGGCAAGCTTGCAGAATTTTTCATTTCAAGATCCGGTGACTTCATTTTCTAGTTGCCCCTGTGTAGTGGGGGTGAGATAGCAGACTTCTTATTACTGTCACTCTAGGAAGGTCATATAAAGGACAGGCCTTGGTCAACTGCCCATGTGGGTCAGTAGTTTCAACATCTACAAGGAAGCAGACAGCAAGAAGGGAGGTAAAATCAGCTACTTCTGTTGTTTTTGAGAAGGGAATGGAGAGGTGGTGACTTTCCTGCTATCAGCTTACCTGGTGTTCTTTCTGGCCACCAGGTCTTAACTTGGCTTGCTGACCACTTGGTATTTGTAGAGCCCAGGCTCAAGTCCCTATGCTAGCTCCTTATGATACAGGATCATAACAAAACACAGCTGAGTTTATATGAATCATTTCAATAGACAAAGCACAGGCCACATTTTAACATAAGATACAAAAGGTTTATAATCAAGTAGAATAAAAATGCATTTTCCCTAGATTAAAATTATGCAATGCTATATGGACAAAGAGAGAGGGAAAACTAATATAAGAAAATCCAGACTGAAAAAATAAGGGCCTAAATGTAAAAAAGGTAGAACTGTCTGTCATAGCTAAGGTATATGTGTGACATTAGTTTCAAATGCCCGTTGCATTCTTCATTCCACAGAGATTAATAAACCTCGTTCAGATGCTCATTATTATCCTGCTCATCATAAAGCAACACTGAGCACCTAAGTGTGTGAGATGTGCTGCTCAACACTATAGGACTAATGCTACGTAGACATGGTTCTGAACCTTTACAATGTAAGAATCAAAAAGAATGGAATGTGAAATGATGAACAATAACAACAAAAAGGATGTTGTCACAAATATTAGAGGCTATACTCACAGAATATTTGAGAAAAATCTCACACATTTTAAATCTTGTATCCTTTCAATGTTAGCATAATATACCAAAGCCTTCTATTGTACTTAATGATGGGGAAAAAGGCACTTTACTTTAAAAGTTAACTCAGGATTTTTAAAAGAAATGTAAATGTAAACTAAAATGAGATACCACTAACCACCTACTCTAAAGCTTAAGTCAGAAAGGCTCAGCATGGGAAGAGTTGGGGAGGATATGGAATGAACTAGAACTCTCATGTATCACTAACATGTACACGGCTATGTGCATACTTTACTAAACAGTTCAATGGTGTCTCATAAAGCAAAAAAAAAAAAAGCAATAGGATCTAGTGATCTCACACATAGTTACCCAAGAGAAAGCCTATTCTGTAGACTCTGAGAAGGCTATTGAGTGTAGAAGAACTGGAGGCAGACTTTGTGAAGATCATTTTCAATAGCAAGAAACAGGCTGAGCTGAGACAGAAGATTTGAATCACTGAGCATCACGGAATATCAGCAGTCTTCTTGGGGAGCTTGCTAAAAAACGACTTCTGATTCATCGGTTCTGAGCTGGGACTATGAAGTCTACGTTTTAATATTGATGGCCTTGGAAAAAGGCTGAAAAAAAAGAGAAAAGTTAAAGTAAATCAACTGGTAAGGAAACTAAGGAAAGTATCCACATGGATTGTAGAAAGGATCTTAACTGGGATTAGCTGTGGGAATATAAAATAAAGGTCAATCTTTGAATTTATGGAAAAGATATAACTAATAGAAAGTGGTGAGTAATCCAGAAGATAAATATTAATGACAATGATCCAGCTGTTTGGACTCTGAGTTGCTGAATTGGAACGATATCACTCAGATAGAAAAATGGAGAACCCATTTATTTTTTTAAAAAAACTCTTGAGATCAGACTTCGAAACCCAACAGACTTTGAGGTGGAAAGAGCTGACGGGGCTGGTTAAGGAGGTGAGTGGAGACGGATTGTAAAGACCTTGACAAACAAGTGATAGTTGAAGTTATGGAAGGAGTTACATCACCAATTGGGGGAAAAAAAGCTTTCAAGAAAGTAGTTTAAGGTTCTTTAGGATCGCTGAATAGGCAGGGGATTATAAATCAACAGAGAAAACTGAAAAAAGGTCAGTCAAGAGAAGAAGTCTAAATAGAAGTGTTCACTTTACAGTTTACAGTGAACTCCTGTAGGTTTCACAGGCAGTTGTTACGTCGTACAAACTGGAGAAAAGTGGTTTTGTCATTTATCCAAGGCCAAGTAACTAATTTCCATGGGCTGCCCAGATGTCAGGTAACACTCTTGGCCAAAAGTTCAAGGTTCTTTCCTTTAAGAAATGTTGTGTGATATGTGTAAACACAATCAAAGCACTAATGTCAGAATGCAGAACTATTGCCCTGTGAAACAATGAAAGCATATCAAATTTAAATGTAAACAGGATGATTTCCTCCCATATATATGGCAACTAAAATGATTGTTCATGCCAAGGCTAATTCCATGTTGCAGGTGGGATTACACGTAGCTTTGAGTGTTTTCAGTAACAATAAGGTCATTCTAAATAGAATGGGACTTTCTTTTAATTTGTTGAGATCACTAGTTAAAAAGAGGCCTAACTAGTCCTCTGCCCTTATAGTCAGGAAACTAGCAAGTTTATTCCTAGAAGTAAATTTTAGTAATTTTATACTTGTGGATAATTCTGTAAATTATTTTGAAGAATATATATATTATATAGTACATGTATAGTATATATAATACATATATATAAATATGAATTGGAGAAATGTCAGTAAGGCAAAAAACCATTTCATTTTTCAAATAACATTTCTTTCTTTTTGAATATCAAATAAATTAAATAGTTTCGCCTTTGCTTAAGTTCATGCTTTTTTAGTATATTGTTAAAACAATATTTTAAATGAATTGTTTTGCCTACCCTTGCAATAACATTGAGACAACCTTTCTTTCTTTTTTTTTTCATTTAGTGTAGCATGAGCTAAGTCAGGAAAGGAGAGGGTTTTCAGAAATCCAAGTCAATGAGCAACTCAGAGACACGGCCCCCTTCTAGCCGTGACTTTGGCTCCCCAGTGTCATCTCATTTGTAAGAAAAACAAAACACAGGCATATTGGGATAGACTGACTATATGAGTTTCTTCAAGCTGATTTAGCTGACTGCAAGTCATCAGGGTCTACATTGGTCTATCTTTACTAAGTCATGTTGCTCAAGAGAATTACAATTTTGTCCAGGTAACGTGGATAGAGTATCTTCTATTTGCTAACAGAATGCCACTCTATGTACAGGATCTTGGTGATCTAAGAGTTTCCCAGGAATCAGATAAATTTTTCACTATAAAAACAAATTTAAAGATCAGCTGTTATTGTATTTGCTTAAGATTTTGTGCATATTATATTTTGTATATTATATTATATTTTAGCCCCAAACTTCAGGGTTGTAAAACTGTGAGAATGTACTGTATTATCTTCCACATCTTCGTGATAAATGAACCCAGATGAGACTTCAATAAATGAAGTGGAATCTCTCTGTGTATTCATGCTATAGGAAGAAAATGATTGCACTTATAAGAACCAAACAAGACTTCACTGCCTGTGAATAGATATTCAGCCCCATGGTAATTATGTGAGAGTTATGGAGACTAGAGCTATAGTAGCAGGAATTCAAAGAGAGCAAGCTGTTTTGCTCTAAAAATAAATCAAAAGATTTTATTTAAACTATCAACAGAGAAATAGTTTCATTAAGCTGAATGGAAGTAAATTCACATTTTTTATATTTATATTTACTTTGATGCACACATCTATGCTATATGGAAAATTATGTAAAAACAAATGCCCCCATTTTGCTATAACTATACTGAATTGTTTGAATACAGTCAAGTATAACATTTTTTATGTTTTTTAAGATAAAAAGGTGTTTTTTATTTTTTATTTTCTAGTTTACTATCAAAATATTGTCCAACATTTTATTCTTATATAATCTTTTTTTTTTTACTACTTACCTGTAAAGTACCTTCAACGGGACTAGTAGATTGAAGGAGTGTTTCAAACATCCAATAAAGTTGAGCAGTGAAGATCGTTATGTAGATAGTTGTGGACATACTAATTTTTGAGAGCTGGTAGCTGTTCAAAGCACTTGGGAAGTTTGGGTTGGGATGAAGGGGAAGGACGGAAACCTCTAGGTTGACAGTGGCTGGTAGGTGGTGTGGAGTAAGGGGAAAAGCTATTGAATTTGTTAGAAACTTTGGATCTGCTCCATTTGTGCTGCCAAAAGGCAGTCTGCCTTGGGCAGGTCACCACACTTGTTTCTTAGTGTCCTTATCTGTTAATGAAGAGGTCCACTTTAAGGTCCCTTCCAGTTCTAGAACTTCTTCATCTATTGCAAAGAGGAGCTATGCAGATAATGACATCATCTTATTAACCCCTTGTTTTGTTCCTTTTTTTAACTTTTTTTTATTGTTTGGGGAGTTATTGCAACAGGAGAGTTAGAGACATTTTAGTAACCATCAGTTAGGCATGGCAGTATTGAGTACGCATTGAGAAGGCACCAATGAAGGGTTACCCAGAGTAACAGCTATAGCAAAGTCAGCATTACATATCCAAGAGTGTCTCACTGAATAGTGGTTAGACACACTATTATCAAAAACAATGCTATGAGTTAAAGAATCCATTCTAAGAGATTACATAGTATAAATATGAGTCCAATGTGGGTCAATGTTTAGTTACTTCTCTCCTCTGTGATCACATTGCTAGAGCATGTGCATGTTAAGAGTACTATAATATAGAAAATCAATTACTGCCCTCTCCAGTATACTATGGGGTGAAGCTAGTCAACATTTCATTGGGAAGTTGAGAAGCACAGCTGTGAAGTTCTTGTTGGGAAGCTGTCATTACACCAGCATGTACTAGGTATTGACCATCAGCTCGTAGACTCTGCTATGGCAGGTTTTACAGTAACCTTGTTAATACTGAGCATTACTGAAACCATTGGGTGGAGGAGACTTAGGGGGCAATAATAAGGAATAAAAGCCAAATGATTTCAGGGGAAGACTGCCTAAGCCATCTCTACTCTGGAAATCTGTCCATGTTACTAAAAAGTCTCCTGCCTCTACTATGTGTCAAAGGCTTGCCTTGGTTTAGCCTTTAACTCTTTAAAATATCGAATATCCATAGTCTGGCTACCTTTTTAAGGTCTATTTGGCATTTCTTGAAAGGTAGATGGTGTTCAAATGGTTATCCCCAGTGAAATTCATCTCTGAAGACAGGACGTGGCACTAAAAGCGAAGAGACAGATGGCGGGTATAGTGCACATAGAACCTCAGCATCAATTTTTAGAGCAGGACCCAAGGCCTTGGCAACATCCCCGAACTGAACTAAGTTCTATCATCACCATGAATCATTTTCTCTCTGTTGTGTGTACTTTTCCCACCATCCACACCCTCTCAGTGCCAAAAGATCTGCAGTTGACCTTTTCATGGCCCTGTGCTGAGATGCCTACCCTGATGTTTCTAACCCGTGTGGGTTTCTTTCCAGACAGAGCTGTTTGTGCATGCCTTCAAGGATCAGCTGGTCAGAAGCGCTCTGTTAGCACTTTACACTGCCAGGCCTGGAGGTGTCCTCACAAAGCCACCCTCTCCTAAGAACAGCGCAGAGGAGGGCTGTCCCCAGGGTCCGTCCTCACCAGTGAGAAGGCAGGACTCCATACCCCATCACTCCGACTATGACGAGGAAGAGTGGGTAAGTTCCTTCCACATCACTTGCCTCCGGGTGCTCAGTCCTAAGGAATGAAGTCATATGATAGGAATCGCTGCTTTTCATCAAAACAAGGTAGAAAGCAGTCATGGTACAAATTGTGGATAAATAAGACACATTTTTCCTTAGGGGCAAATTACAAATGGAATTTTTATTCCAGATCACATTTCTTTGACATAAAATTTATTTGCTGTCAAATAAATTGTATATACATAACCAAGAATATGTCATCAAAGCAAAGGTGTCACTATTGCCAGATTCTATAGTGCTTTTTCTTACTTATTGCCGAGGCAATATGAACCATTAAAAATGTTTTTTCAAAAAAGAGTCAGAAATTGTCTACAATGCACTACTCGAATACAATTAATATTTCCAATGTTGCGGTCCAGTGTTTTAGTTCTGGGTGGACCTTAGAAAGTATTAGCATTTAAATGGCAGCAGACATAAGAATCTCTTAAAACCCCTCTTGTTCATGGTTGTATGTTAAAAAGCAGATGCTACTCCAGGTGCTCTAAAGTTAGCAGAAGGATGGCCACATGAAAGCATCTGAGAAAAGGGAAAGCCGAGAAAACACAACAAGGCAGCGTGGTTGGGAACTGCAGTCGGGCAGAATGAGACGGGAGGGACATGAAGGTGCTGGGTGTGGGTCCCGGGTCAGCACCTGTGAACTATCCAAGGTCCCTCCACGTACACACGCACACAGAAGGAAACTCTCCACTGTGTCCTATATTTAATGAAGAAAATAGTATGCTAGCTGGAGTAGATGTTAAGCAGTTAACAGTTACTTTTCCTGCCACTTAAATTTAAAGGTGTTCAGGGAGTGCATGATTTAAAAGGCCCAGATCTCTCAAAAAATTGCTGTCTGAAGGGCTGTGAAGTGCAGCTCACTCTCTCTTCTGACAAAATTTCTATCGGAGGGACACCAGAGCTGGGTTCTGAGAGGTAAACGCTGAATAAGTGTTTGTTGTTGCTGATTAAGATTGCACTTCTCCCTCTGAAGCACTTTCAAAAGAGCAAATCTAATATTTCTGCCTTTTACCTCACCTTCTTCTGCAATTTATTTACAGCTCCAAGGCATTTGCACCTCTTAACCTCTCTGAAGTTCAATTTTTCTCCACTGTAAAGAGAAAATAACAGCACCTGTTTAGCTTAGGGTGGCCGTGGGATACATGACTTACCTGTTTGGTAACACTCCATCCCCTGGAAAGGCCCAGACCAGTGCATTGGATCATTCCAGTATGACCACTCTGGGTTTGCTTTCTTTAGGATATGCAAATTACATTCTCTTATTATGAGGACCAGTGCCATCTTTGAGATAAATGCGAAAACTGGGTCTACCACAAAATGCGTACTGTGAATTTTAAGAGTTTGGGTAGATGTAGAAAAGAACTTGTATTGCATTTAATTAAACATAGTGTTAACCTTTTCACAAACAATTTCCATTTTCTGTTAAGTGAGGATTTTGGAACTGAGTATCTTATTTATACGATTTTCACTGTGTTATGCACATCCTTCCTCACACCTCGTCTCTTGCCTGCCATACAGCAGTGTGCCTTTTCTACCCTCCCTCCTTATTTCCTTTTCTTTAGATAATTTGGGGGACTTGTAGGTCCTTCAGTGCTAGAGCTGAGTCCAGTGGTGAATAAAAACAGGTTAACAGACAAGAGAGATGCAGGTGGTAGAAGGCAGGTCCCATTAATGTGACTTGGACACAACACGTGATATGCAGAACCTTCCTATGGCTGCTGAGATGGAAGACAGTGGAAAATGTAGGGTGAGGCGAGGAGGTTTATAGTGAACTGTTCTGTTCAGAGGGTTCACTAAGCACCTGTTCTGCCTGGTTTGTTCCTTCCCAGGGCTGTGGGAAAAGCAGCTCTTCCAGGCCTTCCTTTGGCTGGTTATCTTTTTGAATTAGTGTTTTGTTTTCTTTGGATAAATAACTAGAAGTGGAATTTCTAGATCATATGGTAGTTCTGTTTTTAATTCTTTTGAGGAACCTCCACACTGTTTTGCATGGTAGAGAAAGCAGTTTACATTCCTGCTATTAGTACAGGAGTTTTCTCTTTCTTGCACATCCTTGCCAACACTGGTTATCTCTTGTCTCTTTGATGGTAGCTATTCTTACCGACGTGAGGTGACATCACACTGTGGTTTTGGTTTGCATTTCCCTGGTTATTAGTGACGTGGAACACCTTTCTGTGTACCTGTTGGCCATTTGTACGTTTATTTTTGAAAAATGTCTACCGAGATGTTCTGCACATATTTTCTATTAAGTTGTATGAATTCCTTGTTTATTTACTGGATATTAACCTATGTAGTTTCTTCTATCCTTAGAGTAAAACCACAAAGACAAAGGTACAGGGCGATGGGCTGAGGAGAACCGTTAAAGTTTCAAATGAGCCCCAAAGAACATGGGTAGAGAAGCTTATTAGCAAGATTTGAAAAAATTGGAAATCATTTCAGTCCCTGTGAACAGCCAGCTGACAAGTTGGCAGTAGGAGCCGCAAGGTTGCTGGCTTGCCCTTGACCACTACCTTGGAAATACCCTGGTAGCCTTGCCGCTAGGGAAGAGGCTTCCTGATTTTCTCGCCCCCTTGATGCAGGGCTATATTCTCAGTTTCTTAAGCTGCCTCGGTTTTCTTCAAAGGCAAAACAGTGGAGTAGTAATGAAGATGTATCTCTCCGTCTCCTTTCACATAATTTCTGAATTTCCTCTGGAACCCACTGTTATTAGAAAGCATACAAATGCTTTGTCTCAATTTACCACAATTAATTACAAGGAAAATCTTTCCCACTCAGAAAAGTTAGTTCTAACTCTCTCTTGCTAATAAAATTTTACTGTATTTGCCAGTAATCACCAAATTTGATTGTTAGAGAGAGTTCTTATTTCTATTAGAAATATTTCCAACCACTTTCTATTAGAAATATTTCTTTATGGAGAGATGAAAATCCCTTTAAAAACTTCGCCAAAGTTGTAACCACTTAACATTATTTGCAAAGCTTTATTTAGCTTTGAAAAGTTGTGGAAATTCAAAGAAAATGTAGCTAATTGAAAAGGCCTTTGGAGATTGTGCTATTTAATGAATTGGAAACAATTTTGTGTACTACTTTTCTAGTTAATTAGGTGTTAGAAAAGTTTCGGCACTGATCACAGGTCTAGTCAAATTCTTGAATTAATTCAATGTTTTAAATTAATTTAATTGGGTTTCTGTAATATTATATGAAAATATTATCTGACTACTTATGTTGGGTTAAATTTAGACATATAAGAAGGACCTTCATGTTTAAAAATCTGTTTGTTTCATTTAATTTCTTACAGTGACTTTGGTTTTAATAATTACCTAATATGAACAAGTACATTTAGGTTTTTACAGTAAATATTTTTAAAGTAAATACATGTTAGTAAATAACTCCTGAATTTTACTCTGCTGATAGATGTAAAAATCTTTCTTTTTGAGGTTATGAGAAAGAATCTCTATTAATTCTAAATCAGCATGAGGCTGCCTCTTTTCAACTTGTTTTGTTGGCAAAATTGATAACATGAATCTAGATAATAATTATCTAGTCAATATGGAAGAGATTGAAACTAAAATACCTATTATTTGCTTAATTTTACTTGTCAATGATTGAGTGCTTTAAAGGTTGATTTTTCTGAAAAGTTACTAAACAATTTAATTCCAAAGGAATATTGAGATTTCATGACAATCTGTACAAAGAAATAGGCTACTCGCTTGTAGCTGCTAAAGATGTCGTGCTGCTTTTCTTTTTTCCATTTCTACAGCAGATGCTCCCAACAGCTGGGGTTCCAAGATTAGTTTGTCCAAAACACAAAAGCATGCCATCCACCCAAAGCACTAAGTTGACCCAGTTTTGTGGCTTTCAGTAATCATACCATTCTCTATAACACATAATTTAATTTCAACATTACTACCCTGATGGGTTTGTGGCTAAATCTGCCTATCCACATTCAAAAAATTGTTTAAAGAAAGATAAACTTCTGAGCCTTTATATTCTGTTTCATTCTAGCGAAGAGCAGAATAGGAAAACCATATTATTACTTAGCCATATTGCAAACCCATTTTTTAGTTGAACTACATTTCTGTATCAGACATTTCAGCATGCAAATTACCTAACTCATTCCTTTCTTTGTGTTGTAAATATAAATCAAATTTGAAGTTCTATTTCCACTCTTAAGCTCAGAGAACATTTGCTGTGCCTTATTGAGATCACATGTTTGTGTCACATGAACACAGTAGATGATCCATATTAATCTATAATAATTTTTCAATAATTTTATAGATTATGAAAACAATAGTACAGATTCACAGTAATATTTATGTCAGGGCTTAAATGAGAGGGGATGTGTCATTGATGTTTCTCTCCCTCTCTCCTTTCCTTCCCCTCTAGTTTTTTCAGGATTCCAGTAATGTTCTATCTATAAACTGAAAAAAATATCATTTATCTGTAACTCAATATTCCCAAATACTGCATTTTGTGGTAAGACTTACACAACCCGGTTTCTGGTAGGTTCTTTATGAACAGCTCACAGTCCATCTGGTATCACACCTGTCTCTACTAACGGTGTCTGGAACAAACGTGAATGCTTAATCTAGACAGAAGCATTGATGGAACTGTTTATATCACCACAGTGCGGAGCAGAGACCACAGATAGTTATAAAATATTGCTGACCGTTGAGGACAAACACATTTTGCCCGATTCCTCTACAAGCACTGTGTGCTGACTTTTATTTTCAACGTCTCTTGCCAGTTCTGTCTCCATCTTAGACCTGACCACTAAAACAAATCATTTAGACCATGCATAACGCACAGGCACCTATGCAAAGTGGTTTTCAAAAGAGATTCTGTTCAGTTCGCTGACAGCCTAGAATTACACTTTGGGAAACCACTGACCTGTGCCTATAAGAAGGAAATCAATCATTCTTATTTCTAGAGGTAATTAGTTCATACAGACAACTGGATACTGA